TATATATATATATATATATATATATATATATATATATATATATATATATATATATATATATATGTATATATATATCACTGATAATCCATTTATCTGTCCTTTTGTAAAGGAGACAGACAAAGGATTATTAATATATTATCAATCGAAGAAAGGTGACAATTGAGGGAATATGACTCGATGACTGAATAAAGATAACTGAATGAAATGGTTCGTGATATCATGACCGTGGTGAAATGTGTAGGTGGATAATTATACATCATATCAGGTAGCGCAAATACTTACAATATGGCCTAGAATATATGCAGGATCTATGAGAATGTTTTTCTGAAATGGTTATAGTTGTATATGTCTCTAAAATATTAGAATGAATTTGTCAGTTCAGTTCATTTGATATTCATTAAATGATGTGCTTAGTTCTTGGAAATTATGTTGTTATTATAATGTTAGGTATTTTCATTCATTTGAATCTTTAATTTCTTTAGTACTTATTCAAATTGATTTATTCATTTGTATTCGTCGCATAATTTTCGAAATTTTTCACTATTTTTTTTATTTTTTCATAATTTAAAACGAAACATTGTCCAGGTATTTCCAGGTGTAACGGAGCATTTTGGAATTGATGTAGCTGATTGTGATATGATCGTGGGATCTTTAGAGCATGCGTTTTCAAGTACTGGTGGTTTTTGCGCTGGAAGAACATTTGTAATCTACCATCAACGTTTATGCAGTAAGTTGACATTGATTTAAGATTTAAATTTTCAGGTTTTTTTCGTTTTCATAGATTCTTTCCCGGAATTTATCCCACTTTATTCTTGAGTAAAAATTATTTGAGCATCTAATATAATGTTTACCAAGTGTTGTAGCAATAGTAATTTCATTATGAGGCCAATATATTTTTGCCACTAATTTTTTTAAACTTTTTTAAGAGATGATTGATTCGTGCCAAAATAAAAATGACAAAAAATAACTGTTTAAGCGGTAAATAACTTTATTATTTACCCATTTCAAATATTTCTTTCCTTTGTCATTTTAATTTTGTCCTTTCATTCATACTAAAAATACGTATATATTGATTTATTGTTTGCTCTCTCAATTACTTAATTACTTATACGATTAACCATCAAAGTAAAATTGTCATAACTGCTTCCTTTTTTCTCCTTTTTTTTCAACCAAATTTTTAACATACACTCTGCACTTTTGCTTTTGCAAGCTTTTTAATTTTAGTTTTTTTTTACTTATTTGGATTTATTTGATTTGTTAGCATCAAATTACCATGTTTCACTTTGGTAATATATGTGCAAAAAAGTGGGCTGTTTTTATAGTTGAACTTGAGGAAGTTAAAGCTCCTATTAATTAAATTAATATCATCTATCTATGGCATAAAACGTTCTGTACAGTTTTATCATTTTTCATTTTTAGTTTATCTTTCTAGTTTTGCATGAAATTTATTTCTTCGTTTAAATCACTTCATCATTTACGATGATTGGGAAGTTATTCAGTGCGAATTCTATACGATACCACATCTATTTTTTTGCAATCGGAAATTTAATATTTGTCAAATTGAAATAAACCATGTTGTCAAAATTATGTTGCAAAGTAGTAATTCCCAATCTTTTCTTGACTAAGGACCACTTCGACTTTTTTATTTGTACGATGGATCATATGATTCAAAAATAATAAATTCTGTTAATTTTAAAATGCACTTTAATCAAAACTTTCAATGTATTAATAAACTTGGAGTAAAATTATAATATAATAAAGAAGGAATATAATCTTTAGTAACCATTGCGGTCCAGAATTTAGTATTCGCGGACACGGGTTGTGAACTACTATTGTAAACTGTCAAATTTTTGAATATAATTTGACAGTAAACTTTTGGCCAGTGTTTTTCCTCTTTTTTTTGTGAGAGAGACAAATAGTGTTTATGGAATTATATATATCCATATATTTTTTTTCAGGTTTGAGTTATATTTTCTCAGCATCATTGCCTCCATTGTTAGCAGCCGCTGCAAGTTTGTTTCGTTTTGTTTTTTTTTCTCATATTTTAACGAGTAAAATTAAATTCTTTGAATAATAAAATGAAAAAACCAAAAATACTTTAAACATAAAACTGTGATTATGAAGAATTGTTTTTTGCTCTAGAATAAAACAAAAAAATGAAGATAAATAAATAAAAAAAGAAGCAGGTACTAGTTTTTATGATTTATAGCTCCTCTTTAAGAAACTGTCTTCAGTTTCCCTTTCATCCACTTTGTCTCCCTTTGCTTGTTTTTTTTTTTTTTTGCAATCAAATGAACAGATCTTTCGCAAAGTGTAAAAAAACACATTCAACTGGTTGCTACACTTCATCCTCATTAATTTTAATTCTCATATTAACTATGGTAATTTTTTTATTACATCAATTTTATCGTTTTAATCAATTTTATTATCAAGAAAAAGGATAAAACTCACACTAAAACAATCGAAGATTTTTTTTTCGAAATCAATTTAATTCAGTTTAACCTATGTCAGTCATTCGAAAGAAATTTATCACTATAGCCTTCAGAAGGTTGGAATTTGTCTATATCAAACATATATTTTGCAATCAAAATAGATGACATAGAATGAAAATGCAGGGATGACTTTAGGATCTGATATTTTGGTATGATTTGAAAGATAGACAGTTCCTTTGATTTTAGTGTTAATATGAGGGATAGTGACGGGAATTCAGAAATGGAATTTATCAAAATGACAAATTAGTTTAAAATATTATATTAGTTTAAAAAGCACAACAGTGGTATGTGACAAGTGGAATGCATCAGTCGATCTTTTAAAGATCAAATAAAGTCAGAATTTAAATAAATTCCAAAAAACGTTAGAAAAAGTGAATTCAAAATTAAAACTTGGAAATTGAATCCAAAAAAAAAATTAGAAAATATAGAAATTTCTTTTCTTTGAAGTGAGATATTTTTCAGGTAAAGGTCTTGACATCATTAACAATGATCCAGAGCGTCTAGTACGTCTTCGTCAAAACTCTAAAATAGTAAGTGTGGGATTGAAAGAAGCTTTCGAAGGTACGCAATTTACGATAAACGGTGATCCATTGAGTCCTTTGCAACATATCTATTATGAAGGAAATAATACCGATGAAAAATTGAATGCATTAGTGAAAAAGGTAAGTTGATTCTGCGGAAAAAAAGTGATCCTTTAGTAATATAAATTAATTCGTAGTTCATATATTCAAAATTTAAAAGTATGGTAGAATCGAAGAATCGAAGAGGAAGACTAAAGAGAAATTTCTTTCAGCTATCTTAAAAAATAATTCTCTTCTGGATCTGTTATCAGTTATTAATGATTTTGATTAAAATTTTCAACTATTTTCAGATGCGTGAAAGAGGATACTTGTTAGCTCGAGCTTGTTATCATCCAGAAGAATCATTTACCCCTAAATCGAGGTAAGTCATTACTTCAAAAGTTGGACCCCTCTCAAAGAATTCAAAGTTTTGAAATTGAGTAACACCTTAAAATTGGTACAAATTTCACCATAGTCTTCAAAACTTCTCTTCTATATACGTTTAATAAATTTTCCGATCTCGCTTACCACAATACCATAACTGCCCAAACATCCCGCACAGTTACTGCATCTCTCATTGATGGCACAATGTCTCGCGCAGCATAGTTAAGCATTAACCTATCAAATTAGGTTAAAAATGCCCAGCTTTCAACCGTCACGTATTTCTATTCCCTTTGTCATTTTTTGTGCTTTCGGTAGGACTATTCTTACCAGTTTCATCATTCTTACTACCTTTCTAGTATACGATTGTCGATACAGTCGGAACTGTCACATGATGAATTAACATCGTTTATTGAAGCAATGAAAGAAGAAGCTCAACAAGTTAATGAATTTTAAATATTGATTTGCAGAATGAATTCATTCCTTGTTGCCAAATTTATGATAAATTTGAATATATTTTTGATCACAAAGCATTATGTAGGCATCAGAAAATATACAATTGAAAAAATCACCCAATAATTTTTATTTTAAAAATTGTAAACGAACGACATCATAAAAATTATCGTTTGACATCTTCAACTCCTCGTCCAACTATGTCCATCAATGAATTTACATATTTGAACTCAAAATGACCTTTAATATGAATTGGAAATACAAGAAAAAAAGAAAGCAACTAATGCGATTCTATTTTTTTTCGCAATCATTGACATTTCATTACCATGTTTTTTTTTTTTAAAATACAGGATAAAAAAGTATGATGAATAAATATTAAACTTAATCATTATCATATGGCGCAAATCGTCATAGCCTAAAAATCATTTAAATTATAAAAGTAAAAGATGCACAAAACACTTAACGGCAGATGGAGAAACAAGTAAACATCGTAGAAATGAAATCGATGAAAATTTGGGGGATTTCATCATTCTGCAAAAGTTCAAAATTTTCAATACATTATATACAGTTAGATGAAAACTGGAACGATTATTAAATATTCAATACTGTTTATAAAATATACGGTATGAAAGCTTTCCGACTTTCGGCGTATGCATGAAAATGTTTTTGATACCATTTATGATTTAATAAAGCAGCAATAGTTTGATTTGTAATTACAAATAGAAAACACAATAGCATAGGTACTGATAACTGATAAATTAATGTAAATAAGAAATAAAGTATAATTTCAAGGAAGTAATGAGGAGATGAGCAATATTCAAAAAGGCCACCATATGGTACTGTATGTACATTCTTCGCATTTAAGCCTAAAATTTGTGGCAAATAATTTCATTTTCCAGTTTTTTTATAATTTTCCATTCTTGCAAATTTCTGTAACTTTTTTCTAAAAAGAAGACTTCAAGTGTATAAATGGATACAAGAATTTAGGCTTTCCCTTTCAATTCTTGAACTAAATTTATTCTACAATTCAAACCTTTTTAGCTTTTGTACCTTAACTTCTGCGCTTTCCATTTTATATACTTATAATTCGAATTAAATAAGCTAACCATTGCGCAGACGAATTTGAGCAAGAAGGACAAAGCAATAATGTTGTTGTATTTGAACCACGAATATGGCGACAGCTAATATCGTATAAAGTAATATTGATAAGGTATTTATTTCTGCAAATGTGCAAAACCGGATAAGTTGGATTGTTTTAAACTTTTTGAAATTAAAAAAGAAGTGATAAAAACGGAGCTTACCTGTTTTCTTCTCAAAGGTAAACGATGAAAGTTGTGAGCACACATTAAATGGATAAAAAGTGATTCCTAAAAGGAAATGTAAAATGTTCATTTTGGTATCCGAAAAAATCGAGACGTAAAGGCATTCATACAAACGTCGTAATACGTGTGTTAGATACAGCAAAAGACCCATTGAGATAAGAAGATTATCTGAAACTTTTTTGGAACAAGAATTACTAAAACAGAAATTAAAAGGAAAAGGGAATTAAAAACAGGAATTAAAAACAAAAATTAAAAAT